CCGCTCACGAGCTTCCTGCTACACGGGATCCTCCCTGCAGATCGCAATGCAGCCAAAAGGGTGTAGCGCCATGCAACCAAATACGTCATGATAGACGAACGATTGTATAGGAGATCCTACATGCTCCCCTATCTGCGTTGCTTGCGACCTACCGAAGCCGAGCTCGTACTCCGCGACACTCATGAGGGATTATGCGGCAGACACTTGGGGGGCAGGGCCCTCGCCCAGGAGGCACTTCGACAGGGGTATTATTGGCCAACAATGAAAGCAGACGCTATTGAGTTTGTCAGAAAATGTGACAAATGCTAGAGACATGCCAATATTCACCATCAACCCGCTGTCGACCTCAAGTATCTCACCAGCCCATGGCCCTTTGCACAATGGGGCATCGATCTACTCGGGCCATTCCCGCCAGCAACGGGTGGAATGAAGTTCTTAGTAGTGGCAGTGGACTACTTTACCAAGTGGGTAGAGGCCGAACCCCTTGTAACGATCACAACCCAAAATATCCAAAACTTCTTTTGGAAGAACATCGTGTGTCGCTTTGGATTACCTTGGGTATTGATTTCTGACAACGACAAGCAGTTCGAAGATATCAAATTCCAAGACTGGTGCTAGGACATGGGAATCCGACAAAATTTTACTTCAGTCGCACACTCTCATGCAAATGGCCAGACAGAAGTTACGAATAGAGCCATCCTCCGTGGACTGAAAGCACGACTGGACCGATGAACTACCCAGTGTTCTATGGGCCAGAATACCGAGCTAATATGACCTCGGCACAATAGGACCCAGTCGCCTCTATGGCATGGGCAGACTCCGAGAGTGGGCCACGAGCCACTCCTCCAGCCTAAGGGCTGAAACACCGAGCTAATGAAGGAACCTCGGCAGCATACAAAGCTAAGTTGCCCCATTAGCACAAACTAAGTACCTGCAGCACCTGAGGTGCAGGCGGCTTGGGCACGAACCTTACGACAAATAGCCTGCCCTGGCATGCGAAGAGTTAAACCCGTAAGGACAACTGACAGCAAACTACCTCGGTCAAGAAGGAAATAAAAAATAAATAAATAAATAAAAAAGAGAAAAGGGAAGGAGAAGAAAGACTCACCACCATAGTATGAGTAGCAGCTCGGGCGCCGAGCTGACCAGGAGTGAATTCGGCCCAATCGCTGACCTTCCCCGGGTAGGCAGCCAGCTTGCTCTTCTTCAGGCTGCACTGGGGGTTCAGGACAGTTTGGCTCCCCTGACCCTCCGAGCTGGAAGCCGTCATCTCCACATCATGAGTGGAACTCTCAGAGGCCTCAGCGGCAGCTTTGGCAGGATGAGCCCCGGCAGCAGCAGCAGCAGCAGCATTGGCCTCGGCAACGCTTTCACCAGCAGGTCTGGTGGGCTTGGCAGCAGGCTCGGTGGGCCTAACGGCAGGTTCCGCCATCACCTCGGGCCCCTTAGGCGCGGCCCCTTCTTCCAAGTCGACGACAGGCGTGGCTACCACCTCGGGCCCTGAGGCAGAAGTCTGCGGAGGTTGGGACTTGGCTGAAGCTCGCGGGGACTCAACGCGCGCCTTCTTGGCCACGCGTTTCTTTCTCTTCATCTGGCGGAAGAGCTTCTGGTTGTCTATTCTCTCCGCCTCCATGGGACCTGCAGTGAAACATGACATCAGCAACCCGAAGTAAACATATGAACAGAAAGYCGAAGTGGAGGAAAACCTACCTAGGCTCAAGCTCGCCTGGACGAGCTTCTCCTCAGAAGTGAAGTCTTTATAATTCAACCCGAGCTGAGCCARTGACTGGAGCACCTTCTTGGTCTTCCCGTCTAGGATGACACCAGGGTCTTGAA